CTGTGAGAAAGTTAATCTCAGCGAAAGAAATGTGATGGAAGTGTTGTACTTGGCCAAGCAATACGTGGTACCTTCGCTCGTGAACAAGTGCACTGAGTTTTTGCGAGACATTCTACGAGTATCGAATGTCTTTTAAGTTCTGGTCACTGCTCAGAAATTCGAAGAGAGAGATTTAGAAGATCGATGTTGGAAACTTATTGAGATGCAAGCTGACGAGGTATTGATGTCAGAAGGATTCTTAACAGTTGCAAAATAGTCGTCAAATCTGTCGTGAGGAGAAGGAAGTTGAACGTTAAGGAAGCAGATCTACTTCAGGCGGGAGATGACAAAACGCGCCCGCAGAGTACCCCTAAAAGTCATGTATTCGTCAAAAAAATATTTTATGAACATGGTGAATCGTTTATTTAGATGTACATATCCTAAAATATATTGAGCTTACCAGCTCTCCGAATGTCTCAGTTTGATGCTATCCAGTTTTTTGGGGGACAGGTGACTAGGGCTCTCAGTCTTACTGGTTCGTCCATTTTGGTTTTACCACAGTGTAATGAGTCCTTTGAGCAGAAGAGAAACAACTCCATGTGATAAATAAAACTCAATGTTTCGACTTCTGCACGAGGTAAAATATTTAAGCTTACTGCATTTCCCAGATCAACAACCCCAGTCGGATTTATATGCCGACCCATCACTGATTTTTTTTTTTTTTTTGGTTTGTTTACGTACCTCAGTTTTATTGCGCTATAAATAGATGGGTGAGGAGAAGCTAAGTTTAAAGATATGGATTACCTTTTTAAGTCTCAACCTACAAAGGTAAGCTTGTATCCTCATCGTTTCGCACAATTAAGAAACCCATGAGGCCATCATGTGTTATTATTAGATGGAGCGCCACACTTCGTACAGACGCCACACGTAAACAGGCATTTTGGAAGACGTAAAACCCGTTGCAGAATGAAGGTTGTCCATCATTTTGGCCTCTTGAAGATTATATGAAAATAGATGGTAGTCGGCCTATTAACGATAACGTTCATGGATGCTAGCTACAGTAGAGCATTCCGTTGGAAGTCGTCAGCAGTTTAATGTTAATTTCAAGATGGCGGTCAATTCGTGTACTACATCGAACTGCGACAATCGGAGTGCTGAGAAGCTCAATATATATAAGGATATGTACATCTAAACGATTCACCACGTTCATAAAGTATTTTATTTGACTAATACATGATTTTTTGGGGTACTCCATCCAGGTACTCCATAGGGTACTCCATGGTGTAGGGCTCGGCGTTTTGACATCTCCCATTTCAGGCAATAGATAAATGGGCTACCACTGAGATTGTAAAGCGAAGACAAACTCCTACTGGTCCCCTGCAAAGTCAAATGCTCGGAGAAGAAATCGTTAAAGCGATAAGGTTTCCTCTAATGTCTCAAGCAGAGTTTGCGTCTATGGTTTTAGGTTCTGGCATTCTTACAAATGAGGAAGACGGCGAACAAATATTCCAATTGTTCAAACCAAATATGACAAATATGCCAATTGTTCAGTCACTGACGAGACACCGCTATCGTCACCATGATTCTCTTCATGCCCCGTCATACCGTCAGAAAAATGCAGGCTTAGATTATTTAGCGCGTGATACTAGCAAATGGCGTTGCGATAGGTATGGCGGCAATGATAAAGTGAAGTTCTCTGTCAATAAACCCATAAGGTTGCGTGGAGTTGAGCATTTTGGCTCCATAGCAAACGAGTACACGGTTAATCTAAAGATCAACTGTATCGAACCTTATAGAAAGTGTCTCGTAGACAGTCTGTAGACTATGCTTCCACCGCCAAAGAAAACTGTAAATATTATGCTTTGATGTATTGTTTGACCGTTCTATTTATCTGGAGGCATGTAAAGATGACGAGATTCTGTCGATTATCAAAGGTCCTTTGTCATGGTACGGAGAAAGTAGTCATGGCTCTGTTGAGTGCCAAGGAGTGATTTTCACTTTCAAGGATCCTCATCATGAAGTAAGTGAAGCCCAACGTAGAACCAACGCAAGTTGTGGCCAGTTTCCCTCGTTAATCTTCACATAAATTGGTGTGTCTTTGTACAAAACTGAAGGCCCTCACCAGCTTTTATACTTTACTACAGAAAGATGTATTTCAGTGTAGTAAGGCGGGTCTGCTTGAGATTAGTTCACCTCGACATGAAGGAATCTTAACCATGAATCTCGTGACAATACTAATCATTGCGTTACATTTGGAATGCACCCAAGGAGTCGGTCGAATTAGTTTGAGATGAGTGTATAGAGTTGTTGAGTGATTTGTTTTCGAGTGGAATAGCTTCTGTGCTTTAGAGACGGATTAACCATTAAACCCCAAAGGGTGACTGGCCTCTAGTTTCTCTTTATGATCACCAATTCAAAAGACACCTGATTGTCAATCGAAGTCTGATGATGATGATGATGATGATGATGAACTTTATTCATGTGTCAATTATAAAATAGCAGTAATAAAACCACCATCTCCTTGTCATTACTGCGGGAAATGTTAAGAAAAAAGTGTAGAGGATCTGAAAACTAATTTTAGGTTGTAAAGCTAAAATTCATGAGTTCATTAAGCATTGAAGCTTTCTTAAGAAGAACTATACATAAAGTATTAAAAATTTCAGCATGAAGGCTAGGCTTAATCAATTTATTTATTTATTTATTTATTTGAGGATTTGTACCAAGTACTGGAGCAGAAACAATAGGACATGGGTCCCCTACGAGGTTTAAGCTCCAACAAACCCACCCATACCACCCCAGGGGAGGACATCCATCACACAGTAATCTCGTGCGTGGGAAATTAACGTCTCCTACCCCTAACCCTGCAGGAGACGGGACCTCCATTTATTCGTCCCTATCCGAGAAGACTAGAATATCTAACCATTTCTTGATGTTATAGAAAGGTAGCATATTCTTCTCAATTATTTTAAGACCTTGAGTGTTGGTCCGGCCGGGGCTCGAACCCTCGACCTCCCGCACAACAGTCCAGCGCTCTATCCATTGAGCTAACCGGGAGGCGGTTAGCTCAATGGATAGAGTTTTGTTTTATTTTAACCATGGCGTTCCGATTTCTATCATTTATTCCAGTTATTAAAGGTTTCAACTAACTAAAACTGTATAACCACCAAAAACTGTTATATCTTAACCACAGCGTTCTTTTCTATCATTCATTCCAACTATTGAAGGTTTCAACTAAAACTGTATAACCACCAA